TTTATTTTTAATAATTAAAATTTATTCAATTTTTATTGATGAGCTAAAATTTATATATATATTAATATGAAATTTCTGCCTTAATATTATTAATATTGGGATGAATTTTATAAAATTTACATCATTTTACATGGTTTTCATTTTTGGTGCAGAAAAAGACTTGAATGCATAATAATATGAGTTTTTGAGATTAATTGAATATTTTTTAAAAGTTGAAGGACTGAATTGCAAGAAAAAAGGTGTTATTTTGGGACCTAAATGAATGAATATTGAGTTTTGGGATCTAAATTCTAATTATACTAAAGATGAAGGACCAAATAATGTTATTTTACCATTGAAATTAAAAAGATCAGAAACCCCACACGGGTGTGGTGTCGACACCATGCGTTAAGCGTCCTGTTCTGTGTCTACGCATAATTCAGGTGTCAGCCCCATGTGTCCGGTGTCCACCATTCAAGTTTTCTATTCTGCTCCAAGACCTACTTCTTTTTTAATTAGGTTTTTTAAATTCTATAAATACTCATTCAAAAATTAATTTAAGAGCTTTTGAGAGAAAACCAAGAGAGAGACAGTTGAGAGGAATTCAACAACAAAAAGAAATTAAAATTTGAGATTTTATATTATTAAATTAATTTTATTTGTCTTTAAATTTTATTTTATGATATTAGATATTCATATATTTATCATGAAATTATTAATTTTTTTTTCTTTAATTTTAAACTAATTTAACCATCTAAAACTATAATGTAATCTAATCAATTTAATATAGAGTTTTATGATTTTTATACTTTTAAGATTTATTATTTTATATAAAGTATATATTATTGTTCTTAATGTTTTTTAATGATTAACTACTATTAACATTAATTTAGAGATCATAATTGATGTTGAGAGGAGATTTTATACAATAATTTTTAGTAATATATACCGTAAATTGAATAAAAACCAAAAATGAACAAACTGTAGATTTTTATTCTTAATTGTTATCTTACTCTCAGTAATTTATGTGGAGGACTAAATGCGAGAATTTTATTATTTCATCGTTTTCATGCCTTTTATGTATGCAATATCTCTGACATGTTACCTCTTATAATT